AGGGTGTGCTCTCTGCTGGTGAACACTGATAGAAACAGACAGAAATACATATTTTACGACGTGCCCTCGTACGGTCCAGTTTCCAGACTAATTTTGTGCACAGATTTGTGCACAGAAACACGTACCTATGTCTTTTCAATTTGAAGAGGTGTTCATCTCTAAATTCAATGGGTTCAAATCTGGAGTTGTCACTCTTCATGGACACACAGCTGGGTTCAGGAGGGTGTGCTCTCTGCTGGTGAACCCTGATAGAAACAGACAGACAAACCTCTCAAACCTCCAACTAGATATCAATGGTTGAACGTTTAAAAAAACAAACTTTGTTTGAATATTAAACTTTTTCAGCTCTTCATTGTGGCTTACTTTGTTACCATGGCAACCACAGAACAATTTGCAGCTGCAAAATAAAACTTCTCCTCCCTCTTATTGTTCAATGTCTTCTGTTGTCTGTGCTGTAAAGTTATATAGTTAAATAAAGAAATGTCATGGCATAGATTTGCATAATGCACATAGAGCCAAACTTAATATATACTAAATATTAAGCAAGATCTGTTTTGTACGAGGATATAGTGCATAATAAATGTATACGTAAGAAATCTGCAGCTACATATAAGACTTTAATAGTATTACTGCGCACCTGTTGAGCTTACGAGGTGGGGTGCATATGCATTCTGCGAGAGATAAAGATAAAGGACAATGAAGAAGGTAACAAAGGCTATACTGGGAAACAGAAATCCACTTCAGGAAGCTTTAAACCTTTATTTGGCCTTATCTTCTCTAATTGGTCTATATCAATCGTAATTGTTTGGATATGTCTCTGTGTTGGACTGTAACTTGATATAAGCAGTGAGGCAAAACAAGAGGAGCAGTATGATAATAATGGGGTTTCCTGATGACTGCATGAGCCAAAGTGGGCCATGAAGGGATGGTGTTTGAGGTTAAACTGACCATGGATGTTGAGAATACAAGGATAAGGAAAACCCGAAAGGGACACGTGAAAGCTGAATTATCAGGTTTGGGACAATAAACAAAGTTCATTATATTAGTTAGATAAACTGATTATATTAATAATGTCAAGTTGTTGGTTCAGTTTTAAGCTATGGAAAATCAGACATGATGGGATAAGAGGAGGTGGATAACATTACAGGAGTGTTCTCTGAAATGATAAACATCAGTAAAACATTGTCTGAATGTTACAAATGAAACATTGTCATGGACAGTTAGAGATCCTCATCTCACCTCTGAGC